TTGACAGGTAGACTACTGCAGAGCAAAATGAAATGATTTAGAAACTAAGTTTCTACTGATGCAGCCAAAAATTTCTTTTTTTGGTTTTTGAAACTATTGTCATACAGCTGCATAATTCAGTGTATAACCAAAGAACTTTTTCACAAGTAATAAATCAAATCTCAAATTCCAAACCAAATTTGCATTATTCAAATAATGCACACAATAGTCCATTTGAATTTTTTCTATATGTTTAATATTGTTTTCCTCTCTCTTAAATTGCATTCCTTTACCTTACTTACTTTAAGTATTATTTCTATCTTTTAGGGTGTTAGCTATCCCATCCAATTTTGTGCCAAGTGCAAATTGTTACAATAAAAATGGTGAAGAGTGCAGAGCCCAGGACTGAATCTTGTGGTGTCCCATTCGATACGTACTCCAGCTTGAGGAAGAAGCATTGATGAGCATTCTTTGAGTACAGTTTTCAGATCAGCTCTATTTCTGCTTAATTGTCATGATATCCAGCTCATCAAATATAAGATAAGGTTAGTCTAGTAAACCTTGTTCTTGATGAATACACACACAGACTTCTAGTGATCGTAATATTGTTTTCAAGATGGTTACAGATTACTTCATGACCTGCTCTACAAACCTCCCAGCTATTGATGTCAGACTGACTGGTGTGGATTTCTTTAGATTCTCTTTTTATCTCTATATAGTAATATTTGCCTTTATCCTGTCATCTGGCACTTCATCGGTTATCCTGGATTTCTCAAATAATATACAAAGATGAAGCTGGTCCATAAGCAACTTCTTTCAGTGCTCTAGATTAAAACATTAAAAGTGAATAATTACTCCCTGACAAAATTTTTTTATCAATGTCAGGCTTTAATCCTGCCTCTTAATTCTGCTTTGAGGAACACATCCTCTTATTGGAAAAAAGTAAAGCAAATGTTCTTTCACAAATGAAGGCAAATGTTCTTTATTTCCTATTAGCATTTTGCCATTCCTTGAAAGCTGATGTATAAATTATTATTTTTTTATTTTAAACCTATGAGGAAGCATTTTATTAACTATTGCATGCTTTGGCAAACTCAAATCATTCTAAATTTTATTTTGTCTGATTGCATGTCTACAATTCCAAACTACCTGTGTTTCTTCTTTGGTAACCTATCTTGATTTTTACTCTTTATAAATGCCATTTTTATTTTAGATTTTCACTTAAGTGTTTTGTGCTTCCATATTGGCACCCTCTGCTTCCTCCTCCTTCTCCTCTAGGTTGTTTGCTGTTGTGGTTTTATTGTATTTTCCTGAATTCCTACCATGTAGAATCCAGCTTTAAATTCTACTTATAATTTATCTCCAGTGGTTAAAGTCCACTTTCTTGGTACCTGGATTTAATTTCCCTTCAAATCAATATCTCCAGTATTACATGGTCACTTTCAGCCAGCATTCATTCGCCTTCCATTTTCTTAATTAAGTCATCTAGGTTGGTTAACATTGATTTAAGGATAGTTGATCACTTGTATCGGGTGGGTTTCAAAACCCGTCGCTACTGGTTTCCTAGTGGATGCACTTGCGTGTGCACGCAACATTTCTGCCCATGTGCAGAAACGTCCGGGCAGGTAGGCAGAGCCTCCCGCCGCTACCGGTTAGCCCGATCTGGGGTGAACCGGTAGCAACCCACCACTGACTTTTTTTTTTTTTTGAAAAGTTTTTCAGTTTTATTTCTTATACACATAATATAAAATGTACATTTTCTTATACATAATTAATCATACATATACATGTTTTCCTTAAAGAAAGCATTAAAATAAGGAATTTTAATTACATTCAGAGTTGGTCTTCTACTCTTTCTTCCCTCATTTCGCAACAAACCTTCTTCAACCCACCACTGACTTGTATGTTGCTTCACTCTTTGAAGAAGCAAATTATCAGCAAGACAAGTCAGGAATTTCCTAGAAGGATCACATGTGACATTTCTGGAAGCATCATCATCTTTTTTTGGATGGCAGTATCTGATGACAATAATAGTGTATCTTTTATTTATGCCTCCTCTTATTTTAACTCTGATTTCCTCAATAATCTTGCTAAGTTTATTTATTTTAGGATTCTGAATCAGCAGTAGATAATTCTAGTATTATAGTGCAAATTCTCTTCCTTTTGTATTATTTGTGTGCATTGTTCAGTTCTCTTTTTTTTTTAGCCATCTCAATCCTTTTTATTATTAGTTTATAATATAAAATACAAAAATACAAGACAAAATAATAGGAAAAATAGGAGAGGGAAAAAGAGAAGAAGGAAAAAAGGCATTGACTTCTGACTCCCTTTGGTGCAGTAGAATAAGAAGTAACATCGAATCTCAACTTTTTACTTTTGCATAGCAGTATAAACTAGCCATTTCTATAACAACAGATCTATCTAATCAATAAAACCCAAAATCAAATTTTCATTTTTTTCAACCTCAAGCACAAAGTCCAGAAGTGGTTTCCAAGTAAAAACAGAAGTACTTGTGTGAACATTGTTCAGTTCTTATATTCCATTTTTGTTAATAATTTTATTGAAGTTTTTAATAAACAGAGAAAAAAAATAGAAACTAAACTAGAAAAAAAATCCAGAAGGTGCAGGGGGAAATAGTTGAAAAAAAGAAAGAAAAAGGCAATATAGACAATAAGGAAGAAGTGGCATCCAGCCTTTACCATACCAAGCATAAGCTAATATATTTTCACCCTTTTGTAAAGTTACAAATAAGAAAACTCTTCTCCCCAGAGCCTAATTTTTATGGATACACAATTCAGAAATCATCTTTTCAATCCTAGTTTAGCAAAAGGTCCATTAGGAATTACCTGATGAACAGTTTTGACCTTTAAATCATTATGGTATCACAGGATTTGATCTTTCATCACTTTTTGGCATTTGAAAGGAGTCCTCAGAGCTTTCACCAGCCAACTAGTAAATCCCATAAAGAAGTATCATCCAGAATTTCTTTCTGCATGTCCTGTTTTTCCCATAGTAGCATTGTCTAGAATTTCTTGTTGCAGCTGTTCCATGTTCAAATCCTTTTTTTATTTGTCTTTTGTATTTCCATTTTGGTAATCACAATTATGTTTTCCATGTCTTCAAATTATAATGTCCAAGATGAATGTGTTTAGTTTTTCTCATCTTCTAAAGGTTTGTCTATTGAAATTTGTATCCTTTCTATTATTAATATTTCAGTTTTAAGATAAAAAAAGTTATAGCTGGCTTAACCATTTTAACTCATTTCTGCCTGGTCCTTTAGTTCCTTCTAGTATCCATTTGCAAGCTTCATCAAGCCTCAGTTATTAATTATGGAATTACAAGTAGTCCTCGACTTACAGCTGCAATTGAACCCAAAATTTCTGTTGCTAAGTGAGACATTTGTTAAGTGAATTTTGCCCCATTTTACAACCTTTCTTGCCAGAGTTGTTAAGTGAATCACTGAAGTTAAGTAATGATATACTTGTTAAGTGAATCTGGCTTCCCCATTGACTGCTTGTCAGAAGGTTGCAAAAGCTGATCACATGACTCCAGGACATTGCAACCATCATAAATATGAGTCGGTTGCCAAGTGTCTAAATTTTGATCACTTTACTATGGAGATGCTGCAATGGTCATAAGTGTGAAAAATGATCATAACTTTTTCAGTGCTGTTGTAAGTTTGAATGGTCAGTAAATGAACTGCTGTGAGTCAAGGACTACCTGTAGTTGCATTTCAGTTGTTTCCCATAAATACATTATTTAATTATATATTTGGTTTTCAAATCTTACAGCAAAAATAATACACCAAACCATTTAAAATGTTCTTAAATCAAAATATTTTATTTTATTTGGTTTTTGCCAGTTGTGTATTACTTTAAATTCTTGTTCAAAATTTCTTAAATTCAAAATAGGTAAAACTCCCCAGATGTCAACTTAAGCTTGCAATTTTGAAGATCTCTACTATCAATAAAGAGATTAAATTGAATATTTCTGAATGTGATTAGAAAGTGGGTTTGGATGGTTTACTATCCTTATGAAAGGCTTTGAGAGCAAAGAGCAAAGATTTTACTGAAGAGCAAAGATGTCTCTTGGCTCCTTGTGCTTCATGAAATTTTTATTATCTTTTCATGAGCTGCCATTCAGAGCAGTTGTGGATGATCTCCCATACTCTCCTTCACTGGAGTTATTTGAAAGACCAGCTACTCGCAGATCTTTTATTTTTTACAGCAATTATCATCTATGTTCATTCTTATATTCCAGTCATGGGAGCTATCCCACAATATTTCCCTAATGTCCATTTTTGTTTATACCTGCTAAGAGTTCAATTCCTCTTATTCCTTTTCCCATACTCTAAAGGCCAGTATAAAACACAATAAGTTTTTATCTGAGAAGAGAGCACTACCATCATTGTTGAACTCAGTCAAGGTCTTTCCGATCATCCATATACTACTTTTTCCTAATATTCAACATATTATTTTATATCAAATTCATTGAGTAAATACTGCAAATTTTCTCAGATTAGATTCTTAGACTTTTAGTTGCTGTGGATTTGGGAGAGGAAACAATAGAGTGTTTTTGTCTATCTTCTACACTCTCTTTCCAAATATAGCAACAAATTGATGCTTCCCATTCTTACCCATTCTGTTCTCTTGTTATTACAACTGGAAAAAGCTATGTATTTGTTTCTATATATAGGTTTTACCAGGGCTGTTAGATCTCAGTTGCAAAATCAGGACAATGACTAGATGGCAAAAAAAGTTTTCTCTAGATTTTGCTGCTATCTAGCCATTTTTGTACCTCTGAATTTTTGTACCTCCAGGATTTGCAAATTCCTTTAAGCCATCTAATATTTCTTGGGAATGTTTTTCAACTTCATGTTGCTACATTGTATTCAATGAATTCATCTTTGGTAAACTATACTTATGTGGGTCTTCTCTTGCTCAGATCTCCTGTGTTCCTTCCTTTAAGCTAATATCCTTATTCCTTTCTCTTTGTGTAACTGTGTCTCTTTTTCTTCACAGATTAGTTCAGTTTCCCGTCTGCTATCAAGACTCAATGCTATACTCTTCAAGCTACAGTTTAATGAGCAGGTAGAAAACATAAAGCCAGATATTGTTGCTGTTACAGCAGCCTGTGAGGAACTTCGCAATAGTGAGAACTTTGGTAGTCTTCTCTCCATTATCCTCCTTGTGGGCAACTACATGAATTCTGGCTCTATGAATGCTGGTGCCTTTGGATTCAACATTAGTTTTGTTTGCAAGGTAAATATGAGGAGAAAAGCCTGGGGAGGAATAAAAAAATAATAAACATCTGCCTCTGCATTGTTCACCAGTAGTCTTGTTCATATCTTCTAGCTTCGTGACACAAAGTCAACTGATCAGAAGATGACCTTACTTCACTTCTTGGCAGAAACATGTGAACTGCAATATCCAAATATCCTGAATTTTCCTGATGAACTCATCCATGTGGAGAAAGCTTGTCAAGGTACTGTTTGGCATGTGTATGTGTTTTAAGATTGCAACCTTTTCTTTGTTGTCACCATATAGGCATTTTGTTTGGAATTCTGTTCAGAATACTATTTGAAACTCTGTCACATGCTCTTAATGATGAATCAAAGTATTTTCAACTCTCCCCAATTCTTGTTTCTTCCTTAGTTTCTCATAAACATTTGAAAAAAATATGCCAAATTAAATTGAAAATAACAGAATAACAGAGTTGGAATATCAGCAGATTGCTGATATTATGTATTGCCTACTGCCTCGGCTTGTGATTTTTTATAATGCATACAAGTAGTGTAGCTGGGATTTATTTATTTATTTAATTTAATTTATATGCTGTGTATCTCACTATTCAAAGTGACTCATTTAAAGATCTCTTGTCATTTCAAAAAGGAACTTTTCACTTCCTACACTTATCACCCTGTCATTTGTTTTTGTTTATTATTAAATTTGTATGTTGCTTAACTTCCAATTACTTTAAAGTTGGCCCTTGGAAATCCATGAATTCAATACTACTAATTCCTAACCAAGTAGTTGAGGAGCAGTTTTGAGCCAAAAAAGATTTTTAAAAATCTTAAATTTCGACTGCAGCACAATATCCTGCCCATTCCATTGTATGCTGGAGCTGCAGTCCATATATTATAGGCAGAGTTCTAAAATAATTTTTGAATTGGAAATAAGACAAGTTAGAAATACATACTTTCTATTACCCTATTTTACATCAGATTTGAGTTTTATACCAAGTAGGGAGCATAACCCTACTTTTTTCTACTACTGTAAGTTTTTTTTTTACCTTTCCTAAGTTTTCTTTCCTGTTCAACTTGACAGTAGAAACTGTCCCATGAAATAATATTAATCAGACTAACCCTTCCCATTTAAGGGAAGCGGGTAGTCCAAAGAATATACTTGCATGGCTTCCTAGAGAATGTGACTACAATAAATAAAACCTATTATTTTAGTTGATGTTAATTGTTTCTGCAATTCTGCTACATTGTCTCTTCCCCCCCCCCCAAGTTTCTGCTGAAATTTTGCGGAAAAATCTGGATCAGATGAACAAACAGATTTCAGATCTACAGCATGATGTTAACAATTTTCCCAGTAGAACAGAAGAGAAGGACAAATTTGTGGAGAAAATGACCATATCCTTCAAAAATATGCACTGAGAAATGTTGAAAATAACCTATGAAAGAAAGAATCTTATATATGATACTGAGGGATAAAATCACTGGTTTCAGAATGAGGAAAACACTGAGCAGAGTGCTCAGCAGTGGGATGGTTGCAAAGATCAGCTGTTAGAAAAAGCAAGTTCTCTAAAGCTATCAATATAGGTACTTACTGATGCAAGTATTACCAGACTTTGAATAATGAATTCCCATTCTTGTATTATTTTTTCTGAGAATCCTCATTTTCATTATAAAGCAAATTTTATATTTTAAGGTTCTTAAAGTGGCATTTATATATCACTGTTTATTGACATACTTTAATAGTATTAGAAAGATACACTGTATCAAAAGAGGAATTGTCTCATTTTTCACAAGGTAATGACAGTAATAGGAACCCTTAGCAAGTAACATATACCGTTTCCCCGAAAATAAAACATATCCTGAAAATAAGCCCTAGCATGTTTTTCCGCATTTGCGTAATATAAGGCCTACTTAAGAACCTGCGCAGCCGACCACCTGCCCATCCTGTCTGGTTGCTTGCGATGTCATGTCCACAAGGAGAACCAGGGTGGTGGTGGAGCTGCCCCACGCACCCTGCACTGGCTTACCTCAGGGCACCCGCAGCCAGGCTATCCATGCCCCGACACCTGCCTCACATGTACAACACCAGCAACCATGTGCAGCAGGAGCCCATGTGGCCACCGACCCACTTCTGCTTGCTTGTGGAGGAGGTTGAGTGGTGTGCCGCAAGGCGAGGCAGCTATCTGGCCTGTGAGGCGAGGCAGGTATCAGGGCATGGATGGCCTGGCTGTGGGGGCCTTGAGGTAAGCTGGTGCGGGGCATGTGGGGCAGGTCCCCCCTGCCTTGCAGCAGGGGCACTGGCGCATCATGCGGCCTCCTGCCCCACCACAAGCAAGCAGAAGTGAGCCCTCCCATATGTGGAAAAAAAATAAGACACCCCCCCCCCCAAATAAGCCTTATTTTGGGGCCCAAATGAAAATAAGAGTCTTGCTTTGAGTAGACTCCCATTCAAACAGTTGAAAGCACAAAGTGTAAACTCCTTCCTGGTGTCTCTTTGGGTGATTTGCAGGCAGTAGAACTAGGTATGAATAAATAAAGCTTATTTGTCATAGTCTATACATCTGGGGTTGCACCTGCGTAACCTATTCTTCCAAAATATTCCATAGCTGAACTCACAGAAATCCTGGATACATCAATGTAGCATGGACATTTAGTTTATCATCCTGTGGTTAATTGATACTAGGCAAAATGGCACAATTTATTTATTTATTTATTTATTTATTTATTTATTTATTTATTTATTTATTTATTTATTTATTTATTTTGATTTGTATACCGCCCTTCTCCAGCAGGACTCAGGGCGGTGAACAGCCGAGATCAAACAAAGCATACAAAATTTAAAAAATAGTTTAAAAGGTAATTAAATAATTTCGGCCCCAATTGGTTTTAATTGGTTTTAATTGGGTTGTTTTAAACCCAATTAAAACCAATTTCAAATTAAAACCGAAACGGATGGGATCAAGCCAACCCGGCTAGGTAAAATAAATGAGTTTTCAGGGCCCTACGAAAAGTCCAGAGGTCTGGTATTGTGCGTATCTCTAGGGGGAGGTTGTTCCAGAGGGCGGGTGCCGCCACAGAGAAGGCTCTCCCCCTGGGGGGTCGCCAGCCGACATTGTCTGGCGGACGGCACTCTGGGGAGGCCCTCTCTGTGCGAGCGTACTGGCCGGTGGGAGGCTATTTGTGGCAGAAGGCGGTCTCATAGATACCCCGGCCCTAAGCCATGGAGCGCTTTAAAGGTGGTCACCAACACCTTGGAGCACATCCGGAAGACCACCAGGAGCCAGTGCAGCTCGCGCAGGAGAGGTGTCACATGGGAGCGCCCCGTCGCTCCCATAATCCCCCGCGCGGCCGCATTCTGGACCAGCTGGAGCCTCCAGGTGCACCCCAAGGGGAGCCCCATGTAGAGAGCATTGCAGTAGTCCAGGCGGGAAGTAGGGAGTGCCTGAGTGACCGTGCGTAGGGAGTCCCGATCCAGAAAGGCGTATCAGGCGGACCTGATAAACCCCCCCCCTGGCCACAGCCGTCATATGCTCTTCTAAAGACAGCCATGCATCCAGGAAGACGCCCAAGTTGCGAGCCCTCTCCGTGGGGGCCAGTGATTTGCCCCCAATAACCAGCGATGGCACCAGCTGGCTATATCAGGACGCCGGAAGCCACAGCCACTCGGTCTTGGAAGGGTTGAGTCGGAGCCTGTTTCTCCCCATCCAGGCCCGCCCGGCCTCCAGGCCAAATTATATCCTGAAATACCATAATTAAATCCTCACTTGAGATTTTGAGTAATTTTAACATAATATATAAATCACTTGATCTCTGGCTACCATTTCTCTTTGGTTGTTTACAAAAATTTGTTTTTGATAGTGGTCTTGGAGTGGCAAACATCTTTCCCTCTAGATTTAGGTATCTTAGTAATCATGGAACAAAATGATACTGTGATTAGAAATTACTCTCATATAGAAAGTTAATATCTGTTTCTCATTTCAGCAGGGCATTGTTTTCTACCATTCTCCCAATAGTGAAAGAGAAAGAGAATTTGCTCACTTGCTTAATGAATTTAGAGGTAATTTCTTATAAAGGAACAAAACTGGCATGGCAACATTTTTTTAGTAAGCTAATATTTTCTTGCCTCTCATATGTGCCTGCCATCTAAGTCATTTTCACAAGAACAACTTCTACAAAATTTGCTGAAAGATGCTTATTACATTTCTAAGATGTAACTTTAGACAGCCCTAGAAAGGGTTGGAACATCTTTTATTGAGGACTTCTTGGCCCACCTCCTAGGTAATTTTGCTATACTCCAATGTGAGTGATACATAGAGATGAATGAAGTTGATGAATAACAATAGATTGCTTACCTGTAACTGGCTTATTTGTTTATTTTGAATGGTTATTGGATTTTACATGATGTGCCCATCTTTCTTTGCTGCAGGATGGAGTGGGGATGGAATTCCTACCAAAAATTCAATTACTGAATGTTGTAATATAATGGTTTGGAGAGCCACAGGCCTACACATTAATACATAGATAATTATTTTTTTGAATGAATAAATGCTGAGAGGAGGATAACTAGAAACATTCACTTGTAATAGAGAATGCTAAGTCCCGTTCCCCACCCCCCCACCCCCCAAGCATTTTTCACTTTGGAATGCCATTTCTTCGTGAATGCTTCCCTAGCAATTAATGTGGTAGACCTCTTGAATATGGTTTTAGAAAATGCTTTGGACATCACAGGAGCACACCATCTTCATTTATATATTACAGCCTTTGCAAGGGAGATTCAAAAAGGACTCTGGGAAAAAAATAGTAGCCATTAAAACCAATAGAAAGGATTCTCTTTATTGTAATCTTGAACATATGAATTAAGGGTATTATTATCACCAGAAGTGTAAGGAGTCATGCCTCTAGAAATAAACTTCTTTTGGTGTTCAAGAGAGCCCAATGAACTGGAGAATGTGCAGGTATCCCTCACATTTGATGCTATTCCAACAGATGATTATTGATAAGATAAGGCAGCAAGTACCCAGATGATCTTGTGTAATGAAAGGCTGCTTATTCATGTACTGAATTTTACTTTGCTCTTTAAAATTACGAATTATTTCATATAAATTATGGATTAATAACCTGCAGTATATTTAAAATAGATTTAATAATAAATTAACACTTGATTGATACAATCATTTCAGTAAATTGAAATTTTAAAATAACTATGATTGCTTAAAGCCCCCCTAGGTAAAGCAGCTGTAGCTGAGTCCTCCCTTTGTGCCCTATGAAGAGTTGCAGTCAGGGAAGTAAATTATTTACAGTCAGCGATGGTATTTCCAATGGCTAGAAGTCAATGGAATATAAAAATGAGGTGAATCACAATGACCTAATCAGAATTTATTTTTGCAAAAAAGAGCTTTGTTACATTAGTACTGTGTTTAATTCCTCATAGTTAATTATATGGTGTTATTTTGTCAAACTGCTTTTTGCATAAAAGGATGGGATAAGAATCTGAAACTAAAAATACAAAAGCCAAACTCTTAGCAACTTCAAAGCAATTGACTTATTGTCATAAAGTATGTTTACAATTTGTTAGAAGTCTTTAACTCTAGTCTTACAGCTTTGTTAAGGAAGCCCAAGAACAGTATGAGAAGTTACGAATGATGCATGCAAATATGGAAAATCTTTATATGGAATTAGGACAATACTTCCTCTTTGACACCAATAAGATATCTATTGAGGAGTTCTTCACAAATCTGCGCAATTTCAAAAATATGTTTGTGGTGAGCATCCATCTGTTTTAATTACAATATGTAATTTCATATTACGTATTTAATTACAATATCAGCCACTATTTATTTGAACTGTGCTTTTTACATCAAACAAAGCAACAGGTAAAATACTTTGAAACAAACTCAAATTGTATGACATAAGAAGGTGGCTATTTTCTGTTGCATATGTTGCATATTTTGCTCCTATTGTGTTTTTATATGTTCTTGGACCTCCAGCATTTGGTTCTCAGGGATACATTACCTATATATTTTGTGATTCCATTAATTTTTATGGATAAAAGTAGTAAATAAATCTATCATTCATAAACCCATCACTGTTTACTTTGTTTTGCATGGTAGCCAGCACTGCAGTCTTTTATTCTGCTAAATGAAAAATATGATCTATATCATAACAACACAGCAAATTCGTTGTTATGATTCTCCATTTGTGTATCTTATCACCATCTTATTTTTAGCAAGCTGTGAAGGAGAATCAGAAAAGGCGTGAGATGGAGGAGAAGATGCGCAGAGCTAAATTAGCAAAAGAAAAAGCAGAGAAAGAACGTCAGGAAAAGCAAAAGAAGAGAGAACAACTGATTGATATGAATGCAGGTACTGAACCATGAATATTGCAGTTTGTGTAAATTTCTTATCTCAGTGGAAAACTGAGATGGGAAGAAGAGACTTCTCTTACTTGGTAATATCATAAGGGTACTATTTGATTGTGGCTCAGGGTCCATCCAGTCTTCACAATGGGCTTTGACCCAAAGTCTATAGGGATTTCCCATCTGGTCTACAAGTTCTTTTTAAGGTCTCCCAGTCCTTGTCCACTTGCCTTTTACTCCCTATCCAAATTCTTCCCAGCAGAAAAGGGATAATTTCTGGTCAGCAGCTATAGTACTTGACCGTGATAACTACTGACTGTGCTTAATAGATTTAAAATAGACTGCATTGGCCTCATTAGAGGGCATTTACTTTAGGGATCATCTGTCTCCATAGTATTTGCCTGGCCAATTTGATCTTGCAAGGTTGGCATGCTCTTGGTTCCTTCAGTTAAATAATGTCTATTAGGCCCCTGGAAGTGTGTTATCTCTGTATTTAATGCCTTCCCTCTGCAATGAGGTTCCTCCCTCCCATATCTAGATTCTGCTATTGTTCAGAATAGCCATGAAGACCTGGGTCATCATCCACGTCTTTGGTGAGAGAGAATGAGACTCTTTGCTTTTTTCCATCTAGTCTGAATCAATTTCCTTGATTCTTGTGAGCTGCTCCAAATTGCTGGGAATCAGGCAGTATTCAAGTTTAATACATTATTATTAAAGGTTCTCCTTGATTAATAACCATAACTGAGCCTGCAATTTGGTTGTACATTATAAGGGTTGTAAAGTAGGTCACCACGTGACTATGCCCAATTTTATTACCTTTTTTGTGGTGGTGGTTAAGCAAATGCTGCATTTGTTAAATGAACCCATTGTTTGACATTGGGTGTTTTTTGCCAGAAACTGGAAATAAAATAAGATTTCTGTCAAAAATATCATAAATCATAGTCATGTGACTGTTGGACGCTGCAAACAGCCATAAATAAGGACCAGTTGCTGAGCACCCAAAATACTGTCACATGACGTTTGGGGAAGGAGGGATGTCAGAACATTGAATTTGGGTTATAAGTCCCTTTTTTGGAATCTCATAATTTCAAATGATAAATTTCAAATTTCAAACAGCTCGTGATAAGTTTAGGACTACTGGTATTTTTAAAGTCTGCATTAATTAGAGAAAAAGGATGCCTGAATATGGCATATGTAAATATAATGTGGACAAAATTGTGAACCATATGGCTTCAGAGCCCAAAATAAATCCTGTACAATTGTAGTCAGACTGCTCCAGAAAGCACTCAAAAGGGATATGGAGACCATAGCAGTTTCTATATTCTTTGTCACCTAGCAGTTGGTATTCAAAGGTGGAGTAATTCTGTACATATACATGAATACGTATATTCATCTCTCAGACTGACAGCTGTACATCTGTATATTTTTATCTCACTTTCAAATTCCATAATCTCTCAACGGTATGTAATGTTTAAAGATGCTTCCAGATGGACAAATATTTTTAATTAAAATATTTTTGTGATATGCAGACATTCACTAATTCATGTTTGAAAATCCAAAAGGATACAAGTTGGAAAGTTGGAAAATGCATAGCAAAACCTCCTCTTGAAGCATACTTAATACGTGCTATGTATTATACTGTTGTTCTATTTCTATATAATTCTATACATGATATATAATAGAAATTTAAGGCAGAAATTAGTATTAGTATAGGAATAAACTATTTGAATGCAGCTTTTTGGTACATGATTACCATGTTCATATGCAGCAAAAGTTTTTATCTGTGAAATATAGTTAATTCTTGTATTTAATGTAATTATTAGGAAATTGCCCCTGTTCATTTTTTAGAATATGACTGTTAGTACATTTTATGAGTACATTGTGTAGTATAAATGCAAGCACATTGCACAATGTTTGTCTAATTGATAAAAAACAGGTGAAAGATTTCTCAGGATCTTATTTTCATATTGCAATGAACATTCCCTTGCTCTTATTTTTGGAAGTCATTAATGAAGACTATGTTCTGTGGATCCATTGGCTTATATTAACATTTCCAGTTGAAATTTTTCATACTAATCCTTGACTTTATAACCACAACCAAGCTCCAAATTATAGTTGTAAGTTGACATGACTGCTTCCCTCAATGACTGCAATTCTGGCACTCCTAGGTTTTGATTGTGCAGGTCATTAAGTAGAGTACTGGGTGCCTTGGGGTGGGGCAGTAAAGGCTCAGGGGCATTAGTAACCTCAACCAGTTGCCACATCAGCCGTGTTGCCACTGCTGCCATTCACAAATGTCACATCATACCAGTCACCTAGCACTCTTGAGGATCTGCTGCACACCACTTATCTTCAGGCATTTCTTTCCTGCTGTCAAGAAGTTCTTGCGGCCCACAAGAAGCAGCTGCTGGTTCCACACAGGCCTTGTTTCCCGGAGCATGTTTGTGTGGAGATTCCAAATTCTTTGGAATTCTTTTATGGAAGCTCCAGCTTCCTAAGTTGTGCAAGGCTTCCAAAATCTCCAGAAACCACAACTTTGGAAGGCCCTGGAGACTCCATGACACTTCACACAAAATCTCTGAAAGCTTCTTAAGGATCTGGAAGCCCAGCACAACTTCAGAAGGCTTCAACTTGTGCCTTTTGAAAGCTCTGTGTAAACTCCAAAACCTTCTGAAGTTGTGTGAAAGTTCAGAAAGCTCTGAAACCCTGGCAGAACTTCAGAGGCTCTGGAACCCTGGCATGACTTTGAAAGGCTTCAGAGGCTCCACAAGAGTTTGCATGCAACCACCAAAGGCTTCCCAAATCATGTGAGGCTTCCAAAGCCTGTTGAAGTTGCACTGGGATTCTAAAGTTTTCAGAGACTGCATGCAAACTCTGTGGAATTTCTAAAGGCTTCAGAAGCACAAACAGTTTCTGGGAAAGAAGGCCTGGTAGAGAGCCTTTGCTTTCTTGGCCTGTTTTGGTGCTTCAGGCCTTCGGTGAGTATGCAGAGAAAGGAGGCATCAAGTACTGCAAGATCACACTAGATCAGTAGCGCGAGAACTCACACTATTGATCACGGTACTTTAGGCCTCTGTTCTCTGCAAACTGAGGCTTGGATAAGAGCTGCAGCAAAAGGCTTTGCAAATGGCGGGAAGGCCTGGAACATAGAAGCTTTCCCTCCATTTGCAAAGACTTTTGCCATCTTTGCAAAAAGCCTTTGCTGCCGAGAATGGCGCCCTCGGAGGGAGCGTGCGTCACTCTGGAGCTCCATTTTTGCCAGGAAGGGCCTTTTCTCAAGGTCTCTGCTGAAGAGAAGCTCCATTTTCAAGCACCCCATTTCCATGCAGACTACGTTTGCAGTCTCCATCAGGGTAACAAGTGTTTGAGCAACCCTAGGGCAATTGGAAATGGAGCAATACACTCCATTTCCAACCCTCCCAGGGCCACTCAAACATTTGTCGCCCTGATGGAGACTGCAAACGTAGTCTGCATGGAAAGGGGGTGCTTTTTACTCCATTTTCAAGTCCATTTCCATGCAGATGAAGTTTCTGGTCTCTGTCAGGGCGACAAGTTTTTGAGCAGCCCCGGGATATGTGTGTTGGAAACAGAGTGAATTGCTTGAAAACAGAGCTTTTTGCTCTGTTTCCAAAATCCTCCCACCCACCCCACGGTTGCTCAAACACTTTTCACTCAGACAAACATAGGAAACTTCTGGGGTGCATGGTCTTGTGCGAGTTCAGGCACCCATCCGCTTTTCCAGTGAATGGGTGCCTGACGTCCCACGGAATCAGGGCACCCAGAAGGTTCCACTCTCCACGGGAAAAGTGGTTGCATGCTAATGAGGGGCTTGGAGCAATGCGAGTTCGCTGCCCCAAAGCCTCACTTTGTGCAAACGCTTTTCCGCACAGAGCCTGGAAGCCTTTGGAGGAGACTCACCGAGATTGCCCGCCGCTCCAGAAGTGGCAGGCAGGCTTGGTGATCAGAGAATCAGAGCTGGGTGCACTCGTCCTGTTCCCTGTACTCTCTCTGGGAGCAGACAAAGAAACAGAGATGCTGGAGAGGAGACAGATCTTTACAAGGTAAGTGACCCAGCGCAGCAGGTTGGGATGGGGAGAACCAATTGTGGGAAGCATGAGATATTTCAGTGGGTTGGGGAGAGGCCTTGGGTAGTCTGAAGCAGGTGGCCTGTTCCACATCACTAGGCCCCTCCATGGCCTTCCCCACTCCGAGATACCTCATATGCACTTAACAAGCTGTGCATTTGATTATTGAATGCGTGGGTGAAAGGAGGGAGTGATCACGTTCAAGGTATGAGATTCACTCGCACAAATCCTTGGGTTACAAATGGAATGGGCAGGCTCCATTACATTCATAACTTGAGGCCTACCTGTATTCCATTTTATGCTATTTTTTGTACAAAATGATAATTTTTTTTGCTGCGAAATACATTCCTTTACTTAGATTTAATGGACTTTGGGTTGATAAAAATCTGCCAATTTTGCTGCAAAAATCTGACAGGTGGAAAGAAAAGTCTGTTCTATTTTTACTGTTATTCATTATTAACATCTAAAACTCCTTTTTCCTTGTCTCCCATCTTTTGAAACAATCCTGCCTTTTCTCTCCTTCCCCCTACTTGTCCCCTCCTCTGCCCTAAAAATTAATTCTGCATACATAGGCAATCCCTCTCTCAAGATCTTTCTTCGTGCATCTGATGAATTGGCCTAGAAGCACAAAAAGCTTGTGATGATACATTTATTAGTGTTTCAGATGCCATATGATTCTTGGTTATTGTTTTTTTACTTCAACAAAAAAACTGGCTACCACTTTCTTGGAACACACTGACTCAATTACCATCCCTCTCTATTTCCTGACTCCCACAATTTCCTGCCAGTTCTGTCTCCTTTTGAGTTGCTTGAAGTTGTGCTGAATGACATGCCATTTGGTTTTTTTCACATTCTTTTCCCCTTCCCCCACAACCTTGTCTTGAGTTACTGTGGTGAAACATTGCAATGTTTAATATTTCTGCAAAGTATCTGCACTTGGCAGAATGAAGGAAAGACTCCATAAGTTTCAGGGAACCATTCCCATTCTAGCACAATTATTTCTTTCTGCTTGTAATGACACGTCTTTATTTCTCTTGGGAGGGGCTCTTCCTCTGTTTCTGCTTTTCCTTCTTTTAACTTTAGGGACAGAGCTTTAAAATCCTTGCCCTGTGTTGTAATAATAATTTTCTGTGGTTTTTTTTACTCTTATCCATAAGGACCAAATTAATTCTTTAATGTCTCTTTTATCAGAAAACATTCCTGTCTGAAATTCTGCACATTTCTTAGCACTACTATTCTTTTTTTTTCTTTTTGTACTTTTTTGAGAGACCCAAAATATAATGCAGGTTAGATAATCAAGATGGAAGAGCAAGAGTGAAAAATACGAGAGCATTTAAATTTTGCCTTTGATAACTGACTTTTCCTCAAATGTGTCAGCAAGCAGATGGAATGCCTATTTAGCTGCCTCTGTCACTTGTGGTTTTTTCCATCATCATGTGGCCCTTTTTGATTGCCAGATGATTCCAAACTCCTTTGTATCCATTTCTTTCAGGAGATGCCTAAGCACAATATATTGCTAAAGGCAGTGTCAACTTGAGATAAGATTGGGGGATGTGAATGTACACAAATACATTGACAACTTGTCACCTTGTCACTTTTATTAAAAAGACAGTAATTGAAATTACAAATCAGAAGCTTAATCCATCATTTCTTGTACAATTAGATCATTTATGTGATGTTCCACATGAGGTTGCATCAGCAAAAATATTGAGTGTGAGTATGCACACATGTAAATGTAAGGCTAAACATAGCTTTCAAAATATCTACCCTACATACACTACTTCCTTTGCTTAAATAATGGGAAATGAGCAACTGCATTGTAAATGCCTTTTAATTCCAGTGCTGTAAAACTGTACTTCATAATCACTATTTGAATCATTTGTAATTGGAGCCTATCTCTTTTTACTAACCATGCCATAGACTTTCTGATGGAATTGGAAAAATGAAGGTTTCTGTGGCAATTTCTCTCCATTTTTGTTTTCTGTTCTTGAAGGCATTAATGAAGGCTTCCAGAATATATTGGTAACATTTGGCCATTTATTTTGTCCAGCAGGTGGCAGTACAAACAATGGATTCAGTCTACCTAAAACCAGAGCAGATGTTCTAATGTGATTTTATAGGTTTATGTTTTGTCAGGAACTGTTACTATGGAAACCAGATTTTGCAAGCTCCTCATGAAGTTGCAGTTAACACATTCAGTGCCAGGTTGATGAGAGTTGGGGGAGGCAAACATTCAAATGGAATAGAAAATATTGTAGTCTTCAGGGACTTTTCTTTTAAATGTATACTTGTAGAGTCTGTGTTGAAGAGTTTGTACAATTTTATTTTCAAATGTTTTACACACAAACACACCAATAGTTCTTCTCACATGTACTTCTCTGCCCTCTAAGACAGTGCTGGCTTTGTTGCTCCTGTTGAAAGAGATGCCAAGTTATGGTTTATACCCATTTGTTCTTTTTCTAATGCCTGCAATTAAGTAAATACTTGGTTGTATGGTATTGTTGTCTCCAAAGAGGCTCAGCTTCTTGTCTAGCAGAAAGCAGCATTGGCAAAACATAGTTTTCATCACAGGAGCAATGTAGGTGCTCTTCCTCTTCCTGTTTTTGAGACGAGAAATATGCTTGTTGCTAAGGAAACAGCATTAACTGGCCTGTTTCAGCCAGTCTTCTTAATACTCTGACTGTTGTATAAAGTGAAAAGTAGATCAGTGGAAAATGCATAACTCTAAACCCCTCAGGATACTAATGATTTCAAGGCATCAGAGTAATACCATATCTGTACTATTAAACCAGAATGTCTGTGACATATAAAGGAAGAGATGAAATGTTATAAGGAATTTCTCTTTGTTTTATATCCAAATTGGAAATTGTGTGTTTATAAAACAGCTACGTTGATAGAAGGAAAAATGCCTCAGAAACTTCCAGGAAGTATTTTTTAAAAAAATTCTTCTTTAAGCCCTCCATTGTGCAATTTTATATAAGGTTTCTCCCGATTTAAGAGAAAGGAAGATTTTTGTGTATTGTTGTCTTCACATAGTAAATTTTCACACATGACCAGCTCTTCTTTGTTTTTATCAAGAAATATTTTAATGACAATGTTATTCGCTTTTCTACAGTACACATTCCAAAACACACATAGTCTTGAGTCTATAATGCTACTTCTTAGATGGAGGTGCCAATGAAAATAACAAGAAATCTCTATTTTGTGTTCTTGCAGAAGGAGATGAGACAGGAGTTATGGACAGCCTACTAGAAGCCTTACAGTCAGGTGCAGCCTTCCGTAGAAAAAGAGGACCACGCCAAGGTATGGTTTTGCTTAAATGTCTTCAAAGCAAGTGTGAAATAATCATTTTTCTTAGCACCATTATGAACCAACTCTAGGTTTTGGAATATGAAGACAGAATTGAATGGGAAAAAAAATTCCACTTGCCTTTTGAAGATAACAAAGCTTTGATGTCTCTGCCATGTACTTCATACATATAATATATTATATAATATAATGTAGAATATAGTTATTCGATCAATTAGTTAAATCTTGTTTATCCATAAAATTCAGTATCAATCATTGGCTCAAAATAGCGGCTGTAGGGATAAAATAGAGAAAGCCCGACTAGCGGTCAACGGTCCGACTAGCGAACCCAAGAAAAATACACTCAGGAACATTTAAATTCCAAAAGCATAACACCATTTCAGCACTGAAGAATCAAAACCAACTCTGTTTTTTCCTGTGCAATGCACAGATTGGTCACATTGTCCAATTATGAATTGTCCGATTCTTTTGAGAACAGTTCACTTCTCTGTCGGACACCTGCATCAGTGTCCTTGGTGGGATATTGGCTCTCATGGTCTGTCTCTAGAGTGTCTGCATTCTTTCACTCTTTCCTCCCCTCAGTTTTTTGGCAAGTTGAAGAGCGATAAGACCTAAACATTTCAAAAGCAGTTCAACCTTGACATGCCAACCTCCTGGGAAAAAGAGGAGACCTGGAAAAATATCAAACATAGATATCAAACATCCTTATTCATGTTCCTTGAGCCTTCAGTCCCCTGTTTTTCATGGTTGCTTAGCATGGAATCTTCTCACTAACCTATGAGCGTTAACATCCTGTTCTTTCACCCATTCTGCTTCTGACATCGGGTACCCTTTCTGTCAACCCTGAAGCTGACCTGACTGGCATGGGCACAAACTCTATTCCTGTAGCCAGTTTGAATGGGGTAAGCCCAGTGCTGCTATGAACTGAGTTGTTATAGGCTATCTCTGCAAATGGTAAAAGTTCCACCTAGTTCATTTGCTGATAGTTCATATAGCAATGTAACTATTGTTTGACTATTTCATTGGTCGGTTCTGCCACCCCGTTAGTATTCAGATGGAACCCTGAACTAAAGTTGATAGGGAGGAACCTATCAACTTTAAAAACTTGCACCAGAACGTTGCAGTGAACTGTACCCCCCAGTCTGAGATGATGCATTTCGGAACTCCATGTTGCCGGTATATGTGTTGTATGAACAGTATGGCTAGCTTCTGGGCTGATGGAAGCTTGGGGCACACAATGAAATAGGCTTGCTTTGAAAACAAGTCGAATACAGTCCAAATCACCATGCTTCCCCCGCTCTCCGACAATTCCACAATAAAATTCATAGTGATCTCTTCCCATGATTGGCTAGGATCAGCCAACTGCTGCAGCAGCCCAGGGGTTTTTCCTTGCATTTATTTCATAAATGCACACACTGGGCAACTCATCACATAGCTCTCTATGTCCTTGTTCTCTTTGGGCCACCCAAACTGTCTCCTGACCAGGTGGAGGGTCTTTACAAAGCCAAAGTGGCCAGCTGATTTTGCATCATGGCTTTGGTGTAAGAACTGGGTTCTTAGACTTGCCAGGATGTAGTTTGTCTTCCTTCCAAGCCAGGTCTTCCCTCATTGTCATCTCATCCCAATGGGCCACTCATCCTTTTGTAGGGCTTCTCTCAGTTGACGAGTCAACCCTTTGTCAGGCACCTGAGGAGTGCTCAGTGGCTGCCACCTGTCAGAGGTTTTGACTGCCAGTTGCTTGGCAGGGATGATAGAGTTAACTATTTCCTTCTGGGTGTTTTTATACTGGGGCATCTGGGAGAATGCGTCTGCCAGAAAGTTCTTTCCTCCAGGCAAGTACTTAAATATAATCAGTTAAAATATTGAGCCCATCATACTTGCTTCAGAGAAAGCTTCTTCGGTATCATCAGGGACTCTAGATTCTTGTAGCCCGTCCATACTTCAAATGGGATCTTACTGCCTTCTAGGAACTGCCTCCAGGTCAGTAGTGCCCATCAGACCACGTAAGCCGCCTACTCCCACACTGCCCAACACCTCTCAGTGTCCATGAGTTTACGGGATGTGTAGGCACATAGTTGCAGCTTTCCTTCAGCATTCTTTTGAAGTAGGGCAGCCCTCATCACCACATTGCTGGCGTTGGCTTGTATGACGAACAGTTCATCTGGGTTCGGGTGTTTAAGGACTGGCTCTGCCACAAACAGATGCTTGAGCTTCTCAAAAGCCGCTTGGCATTCCATGGTCCACTTCAGCAACTGACTGAGCTTGAGCTTCACTCCCCCGTCCACCCATCTTTAGTAGCTTGGTTGGGCAGAACAATTTGGGCAAATGACGGAATAAACTGTCTATAAAAGTTGGCAAAGTCCAAGAAACTTTGCAGCTGTTTTCTGGTTTGGGGGGCTTCCCACTCCAGTATGGCCTTCACTTTCCCAGGGTTCATTTCTACTTGCTTACTTGACACCTGGTAACCCAAATAGTCCATGCTAGTTTTATGGAAGTCACATTTTGATAGTTTGGCATAGAGTTTAGCATCTAGGACTTTCCTTAGCACCTCACACACTTTTCGAAGTAGATGAGGATGTAAGACACCCTTGTTTTGATGCTTATATGAGCACCTCATTTATTAATTGCATGAATATGGCTGGGGGCCCCTGTACCCCGAACAGCATCACTCGGAACTGGTAGCATTCCAGAGGACAATTAAAAGCTGTCTTCCACTCCTGCACATTCTAATATTTTTTAAATCACATTTTCATCTGTAGGGATCTCTTCACTTTTCCATTGTTGTGCAAATACAATTCTGGCTGCAGTTAATACATGTAGGATCAAATATATATTCCCCTTATTATAATTATCCGGAAGAATACCCAACAAAAATATTTCTGGTTTTAAATCAGTATGTTGCTTTATCATTTTTTCCAACCATGTATGTATTTTTGTCCAATTTTTGTTGCTTTTGGGCATGTCCACCACATATGACAGTACAAACCAGGTATCTGTTGGCATTTCCAGCATTTAACCAACTTATCCTTAAAACATCTTTGCCAACCTCGAGGGCAAGAAGTGCCATCTATAAAACATAAGTTTATATAAGTTTTCTTTATATGTAGTTGACATCGTTAATTTATAATGCCTATTCCATAATTTCTGCCACTTATCTAACTCTATTGTATATCCAAAGTTTTTAGCCCATACTATCATTGTCTCCTTTACTTGTTCATCTTCCATTTTAATATTAATAGATAACTAAACATTTTCTTTATTAGTTTTTCATCTGGCCCTGTTAGTATCTGATCTAGTTCTGTTAATTTTTTTTTAAAAAACATACATTTTAACATCTTTCTCATATCTAGATAGTATCTGCACTTGTGGCCACCATGCTATCAATCCCTTGACCATTCAGTTCCTGTTTACTTTTGAGCTCCCCCTTTTCATTCAAAATATATTTGTATCTAATAATATTTCCCAGATTGATAACGTTTGGATAGATCAGTGCCTCCATTGTGGAGAGCCAGACTGGTATTTTCAAATAATGTTGTTCTTTGATTTTCTCCCATACTAGTAATAATGCATTTCTAATATAATGTCTTTGAAAATAACCATGTATTTTGTTTTTCCAATACCATAAAAATGCATGCCAATCCAGTTAAAGATCATGTCCCTGCAAAGTTTTATGCCTCAAACCAATCCATTCTTTCACCCAAGTAAATACCAAGGCCTGATAATACAACTCCCAATCTGGCAACCCAAAACCACCTCTATTTTTCGAGTCTTGCAACATTTTCAAGCTTATTCTTGCTTTTTTCCCTTGCCAAATATATCTTAATATTATTTTATTTAATTCTTCAAAATATCTTTTTTCCAGCTTTATTGGAATTGTTTGAAATAGATATAGTAGTCTCAGCAGGATATTCATTTTTATAGTAGCTATTCTTCCTGTCAGCAACAGTTGCAGGTTTTTCCACTTCTTCAAGTCTATTTTAATTTGTTGCATCACTTTATAGTAATTATCTTCTTTAATAGTTACACATATTACCATTAACTGAATTCCTAAATATTTTACTTTCTTAACTATCTGAATATCTATTCTCTTCATTAACTCTTTTTTCTGTATATCTGTAAGGTTTTTGACCAAAATCTTAGGTTTTTCTTTGTTTATTTTCAGTCCTGCAACTTCACCATATTATTCTAATTTTTTAATTAATTTGGGTCCTGTTTGTTGTGGATCTTCCAAAATAAAAATCAAATCATCTGCAAACGCCTGTAGCTTATATATTTTTTTTATTATTTCCATGCCTTTTAATTCTATATCTTGTCTAATATTTCTGTTTAACACTTCCAATGTCAATATAAATATTAGAGGGGATAGTGGAAATCCTTGTCTTGTGCCTTTTTTTTTAATATTAAAGTTCTCTGTCATATCTCCATTTACCATCACCTTTGCCGTTTGCTTGTGATATATTGCCTTAATCATATTGATAAATCTCTCCCCAAAATGCATAGTTTTTAATTATAATAACATAAACTGCCAGTTTATATTATCAAATGCTTTCTGTGCGTCTAGGAAAATCAACAACATTTGTTTTCCAGGGTGTGCTTCATAATACTCCAGTGTGTTTAAAATCATTCTCATATTGTTTTTAATCTGTCTCTTAGGCAGAAATCCATTCTGATCTGAATGTACAATATAAATTCATTCAAAACCCTTTTTAATCTCTCTGCTATTATTGAGGCATATATTTTGTAATCAGCATTCAGTAAGGATATAGGCCTATAGCTTTTTATCTGCATTAAATCTGAGTCTTCTTTTGGTATAATAGTAATATATATGCTTCCATCCACAAATTTGGTACCTTCGCATCTAACAGTACTTCATTATGAACTTCCAACATTGACGGGCCTAAAATATTTTGTAGATCTTTATAAAGTTCTGCCAGTAGTCCATCTAGTCCTGGTGCTTTATTACTCTTTTGCCTCTTGATCGCTTCTGTTAATTC